AACATGTGGCAATTAGCTATGATAATCGTCGTTCGAAATACATCGTTTTGAATCCTGGGAGGTAAGACTTCATCGTGACTTGCATATGTAACTTTTCCCCTCATCTTTGTTCATCAAGTTATTAATGGCAGTAATTATATTTTCTCAAGTAAAAACTAGCGCTAATACAACACACACTTTATCGTTTCTTTCTAATTGCTCCTCTATAATAAGCTAGTGAATGTATCTGCAAAAGCATGTTCAATCAGCATATTTTTTCCGCACCGAGACTCGAATTCAGGTCCTCCATATTAATTGGCCATGCATTTTTATTCTATGCAATGCAAACGATCTGACGGTCTTCGAACTGGGGCCGACTTCGAAATGTTTACACTTTGTTCTTATTAGTGATGGGAGTGTAGGGAAGAGTAATTTGTATTGAATTGTACATGTGGGGGCGTTTTTGATGATTTACTCGTTTATGGCGGCTCAAGCGCTCTTGAACTTGCCACACAGTCAAGGATTAAGTGCATCTTCACTGCCTAGTAAAGCCACTGCCACTGCAAGTATTGCACCTGCGATTGTGAAATATCGGCCGGAACTATTACTTAAATCTCGGACAAGAGAATAAAATTTCCTGAAGATAGTCTTATATCGAACGCATGCCCAAAGAGAGAGAACATTTAAAAATATAGGATACCTGACGATCCAAACAAGGACATAGAACTCACCGATACTTGCGAGAAAAGTCATCTATTAGAATTTTTGCACAGAATAGCGTAAAACGCGATTAACAATCATGTGACGAGTAGTGTGTGATCTACAATAGGCTACAATAGTGAATCATTGTCGGGTGCACTGGTAATAATTAAAACTACTGGATATGAAATTGGAATAAAAGAATTGGAGTACTGTAGAATTGGAGTACTGTGGAATTGGAGTACTGTAAAATTGGAGTACTGTAGAATTGGAGTACTACTTAGAGTACACGATTCACAAGTTTTTACAGTTACAAAGAGCGCAATCAATGTTTAATTAAATAATTCACGCGTGTGTAGATTGATTTCTAAAAGTAACAAAATTATTCTTAGATTTCTTGCTGCAGAAATCATGAACCGTGCTTTATAATTCTGATGGTCCAAAGACAAATGTAATTCGTTTTTTTGACACTTTAATTTCATTTTAATAGTGCTTTCCTCGTAAAATAAGAGAACTAAACATTTAACGTAAAAGCAATACTTAAATAACACGAGGGTAACACATCATATAAAACCAAACGAATTTTATATTTCTTTTCTAAACATCATAACGTATCTCATAATTTCCACCTCTACTTCCGAAAATGCAAATCGTTATTAAGAATTGCACAAGGGTGGATAAAGTCGTAAAATATGATCAAATTATTGTGAATTCAAATATCAAAGACAAAGTAATGTGGAATAGAATTAAAAATACGACCACATCAAATAGAAACCTCGTAGAGGATGATAATGGTAGAAAATGATAATGGTAGAAAATGAACGATCCGGCAACAGTAGTTTGTCTCTTCAACAAATATTTTTCGAGAATTGCGGTTGATGTCACGAAGGGTCTAAAGCCACAAAATGCAATATCAAACGTTTCTGAAAGAAATTCAACGTGTTGTTTCCGAAACTTTTTCGTATGAAATTTTCTAATTATCGGTTGCATAAAAAATAAATATTACGCCTGTTCAGATGAATTTCCGTGGTATTAATTAAAGACTCGCGTTTCCCATTATTCGACCGTTAATTCACATATTTAATGTATCCTTTAGCATCGGAACATTCCCAGATATTTTCTAAGCAGTTAAGATTCAGCTGCTCTTCGTAATAATAGAGAGACATTTCTACCTTCATTTGGCACCATCTTTCACTAAATATTAAACGTTTTTGGATTGCTAACGTGGATTTAGATAATACAAATCTATAGAAACGGTTATATTTTATTTTCTTTAAGATCTTGCCTCTTAATGATTGAAATTACTGACATATTGAGATATATTTAGATCTTTCAAGTGCATTTCACGGCATTACTGTTGTGTGGTTAGGCGGAAGAGCAGGCCCTATGGCCTGAGCCTCGCCATTAATAAAGGCATTATTATTATTATTATTATTATTATTATTATTATTATTATTACTCATAATATTTTACTTCTGCAATTACCTCTATATATGAAAATCCTGGTATTGCTCTACATTGGTTGTATTCGTACCTTAAACAACGACCTCAGAGAGCAGAACTGTAATGGAATGCAGGGACATTGTTTACTCTCCGTTTCGTTTCATTGTAAATTACGCATGGCGTTCCGCAGAGATTTTTTTTATGCCCTTTTCTGTTGATGCATAAACGATATGCCCTCGGCGATTAGGAACAGAAGAACAGTTCTCTTTGACGACATTAAGATATTTTGCAATAAAGGAACGACAAATACTACAATATTAAAACTTGTACATGATACAGCAGAAGAAGAATCATTTTCTGAATTAGAACTTTTGATATCATGAAAATAACATAAAGTATCGCAGACCTGTGTAATGAGTTTATATATCAAGTTCAAAATATGAATGTTTTGGATGTGTTGTAAGTTTTGATAGAGTAAAAAATATTACCATTTTGGCCGATGTAGATACCATGTTTTTCTGAACACATACTTCAAGAAGTAGCATACTCTGTACTGTAAAAACTTGTCTGGTAAAAATTCTTGACTGTAGAATCGGAGAAATCACAACTTAACTGTGGCTTAACTTGACTTGACTTGAATTGACTTGGCTAACAAATTAACTTGACCGTGAAGAAATTATTATTTAAGGGGAGAGTATATAAAAATTATATCTCAGTTACAGGTACACAATTAAGTTGCCAGAATCGTCCGTAAATCTGACCAAAATCGTCAATCTGGAAACACGAAAAGTGTACTGTTTAATTATCAGTGATTATGGAAAAAAGTTAAAGGTAAAGTTTGTTTAGGTTAAGTGATGGTAAGGAAAAGTGATGTTTTTCTGTAAACGTGAATGTAAGAAGCTTGAATATCCTGTCATTAAAATTGATGTTTAATAAATTATTAGTAATTTTCGAATCCATTTCTTCTTGATCATTCAAATTCTAAAAGTGATCATCCACTATTTCCAGAATGATCTAAACATAAAGATTTAATTTTTCTTGTTCAATGTTTCTTTGCGATACACTTTTTCAACGTGACAATATTATTAATTTTTTTGTATTGTTATTGTACTGTCATTACTGTTATGCTTATTTATATTTTACATTTTCAGAGTGAATTATATGAAGAGTATTCTGCAGGCGACATGAATATGCTATGGCTTTTGCCTCAGTATTTCCTAATTTCTGTGGCAGAAGTTATGTTTGCTGTCTCAGGCCTTCATTTTTCATTTTCTCAGGTAATAATTTACAGCAATACTAGCATCCCACACAGAAAAAAATGAACAATTTCTGTACTTTCCTTTACGCGAATAGGATGCTTTTTAGAAAAAACCGTAGCAGCACGAAACGACGAGTCACACATAAGTCTTTTGGTGCGCGGAATCTGCCATCCGCGAGGTGTGTTTGGGGAGTTGCAAATTGGAGAATGTGAGGGGCTAACGGATATACTGTGATACGTTAGTCTCCAAAAGCTTTTCTGGTGACGATGCCAGTTAATCGTTGCTCAGAAGCTGTTTTGTTGATCTGGTCAATGATGCGAAACCTAAGCGTGCAACCAAAACCTTTTATTTCTTGTATGATAAGTTGTCCACGTCCCAATCGTTCTCAACTAATAAATGATCGGTGCAAAAGTGTTAATTTAAAAACTAATTTTTACCCTGGTGACGTTTGTAAATGACATTTTATTACAAATAATTTTCTGTTGTCGTCCATGAAGAATTTCGATTTTTTTCTATCACAACCAATAGTCACAGTTGCCTGTACTCGGAAGTTTATGTAATTGTGATTCTGGAACTCAAGTGTCCTAGACCTCGACCCCCCCCCCCCAGGTCGGGAGAAGGAATTTAGGTCGTTGATGCGTAGTTGGATCGAAGCTGACCACTAACAGGATTATGATTCTAGAGATTGACTGCTCCAATCAGTTGTCACTGTGATTTTCTGTAGTCAATTTAAGAAGGAAACCGAAGCCTAAACAATCGGCCATGGACCGCGCACAATCCCTCAATCCACATCTAGTCGTGACTCACATGCCAAGGACTGAGCAATAAGCAGATCCAATCCTCGTGTGGCCTCGTATCACCCAATGACCGGGAAATTCTTTTTTAACATTCATACTGAGACACTCTGTATATACCGGATATGAAACTGCCTTAAGAAGCCGGATCTCGTCATCCAGCAGGGAAAGATCATCGCCACTCTCCGTGATATAACACGCACTACACTTGCGGGACTAATGACCTCATCAGTTGACTCGCCCGAAAACGCCAGTCAAACAATTAATCCCAGTCGCAGGTTAATGCTTAGATTTGTCGGCGGGTCTTGTTCGAGCCGCTCCCTCCAGGTTGCTCGCATAAATAGCGGGCAATTTGAAGATCACCTTTGCGGTAACAAGTGGCGTCACGCATAAATAATATGAGGCCGCAACAGCTTTATTACCCTTCTTTGGCAACAGGAGCATGTCGAGAACCGGCGGCAGCTCGATGAAGCAACTGTTGTCACCGCTCGGTTGTTCCCAGCTCGATGCAGATGTTATTTGCGTGCCTATGTATAACTTTTGGTCCCCGGACACTCTTAATACAGTTCGCGAAAAACGAAGCATTCGCAGATGTCTGATGTCACGCGACAAAATAAATAGTGCAAATTTCTCAAGTATGAGAAATAATCACTAGTCCGCAATTGCATGGTTGTGTATTAACCTGCGTTTAGTGACAGATTATGTAAAATTATAAACTCGAAATAATCGTGCGAAATTGAAAGACACTCACTTGTTTGCATTCTATTGGATTATACAGACAGTTTACTTTTGCGACAAAATAAATAATGCTTTTTTTTGACCGTAGGCACCAAAAAGTATGAAGACATTTGCAATAGCTGCATGGTATGCAACAATGGCCATAGGAAATTTGATTGTTGTAGTAATTACTGAAACTGGATTATTTACCAACCAGGTAACTATTCATCTTTCTTTCATAAATATCGTCTCTGGAATTTATTTTTGCCAATATCTTTTAGAAGTTTGTTCTAAAAGATATTGATGTATACAGAATTATGAATTTCTTAAAAGCTAATATTCATTTATACAGTATTATGAATTATTATTTACTATTATTGAATTATTATTACATTAATGCGAGAGACAAAGGAGTATGTATCCATCACACTGCTCATGCAGAACTAACGTCGTCACTGGCATGTAATGTTCACACTACTTTCATTACATCGTCTCGTGCGGCATGTACTACATCTTCATTCAAAATCGAATGTGCAGATGGATCAAAAAGAGATGTCGATGTACGAGTACTTGACATCAGCTTGCATACATTTCTTCTTACAGATCTGTAGCTATTTAATCTGAAGCAAGGAGTATTGTGGTCTTTGTAGAGTGAAACTCTTCTTTGCGGCTTGTTATAATTGTTATAGTTATTCGTCGATATCATTTTAAAATCTAGGGACATGCACCCTTATGCTATTAATGAGACAATACGAGGCTATTAAAGCTATTAATGATACTGTGTACACATAATAAATACACATAATGATTTAATGAGACATTGTACGTGCATCTTTATTTTGAATTTCTCATATTTATGTGAGGCAGTGGTTCTTTAACATCACACACTTTCTCGCATTATTTGTAACGGATACGCAATATTATACTATAGCATGAAGCTGAAAAGAGGTTTCCAATTAGCTAATATTGTTCCCTCCTAATTATCTTCTGCAGAGAGAATCGCCTCTTAACTTTAGTCCAGGTGAAACTAACCTGTCTGCGGAGCACGTCTTTTTATGTGTAAAAATGTTTTCGGCAGCCACCGCAGACTACGAGTGATACATACAATGACTAGTCCTCGCCCTAGAATCTTTCCACGACAAACTGGAGTGCATCATAAAATTTGAGATGAAGTACTCGTATATCACGTTTACTTTTGTGAACGACCCCTGTAAATCAACATTTTAGAGCTTTTAAGATTCGATTCATTGTCTATTTTAGGCAAATTCTGGCTTCCAGACGGCAGATCTAATGAGTCAGATAGCAATATAGCAGGACATTCTGTAAACTGTAATATTTAAATGGAGATTACGACATTTTACATTTTCAGTCGAAACGTTGCAGCTAAAATATCGAATCTTCAAATATTTTCGAGATAATTATATAATTTTCTCAGTAAATTATAGAATTTTGTTTTCTCTAGGGAATGAATAGGTAGTTGATGCACCACTATAAGGTTTTCCAGCAGAGCTCCGAGATTTCTCCCAGAAATTTTCGAAAAAATGGTATTGATGAAATGTCTAAAAAATAAATAATTTAAATATTTTACTGATTGAGGGTCATTCCCTAGAACAGAATGTTCTAATTTTTTGGAAAGAAAATGTATTTTTTAAAAATATTTTTCAACAATATATTTTCCGTCAAACCTTGTTTTATGTTTTAAGCAACCAGCTAGAATATACTACTTGGAGTTGCTGAAGCTCCGTCATTTTGAAGCAAATTGAAGCCTATTTTTTGCAGTCAAAGCAGCACACTCTGAAAAACTGAGTATTCTAGTATTCCGTTTGACGCTAGTTAAGGCCGGGTGCGTAATATAAATCCTCTTACTCTGTGTTTCACGACCAAAAGCTAATAATTTAAAAACGAAATCACTGTATATAAGTAAAACGAATTAAGAACCTTTAAAAACACCTTGCTTGCTGCATCGGTTATGGTCTTAAGAATGGATGCTGTCGAAATGTTATTGTCGTTAGCGTAACACCTGAAAGAGAATGTTATTGTCATAAAAAGCAAAAAACATATCACAAATAAGGTAGCAAACTTGAAAAATGATAAATTTTTGGTTTGATGACTTCTATTTTTACAGTTATAGGTCGGACATACTGAAGGCAATGTGGATATTATTATTATAGCCACTAACACAATTTAAATGCAGATAAATGAAAATACAAAAATATGGAAATAAGATCTGATACAAATAACACGTCGATTCAGTACAACACTTCCACACGCCATCATCAGGCACCTCTCATATTTTGAATGCAAACAACATGGCGGTCCCTAGTTCAGCGAGAGTTCACCAAGATCGCTTTATCCGTAGGGTCAGCCACTTATGAAGTATATTCTAGTTCGTTCGTTTAAATCAAACTTCTTAATTACAGAATTTGCTTCCGTGCTATTTGAACATAGAACCGACATCACAGAAAAAATAAAAATTGAACTGAAAATATGTCGTTTATATTTTTATTCAAACATTTCTTTCAGAAGCACCTCAAGCACCTTATACTTTTTAATATTATTTGGAAGTATCACATTAATAAAATATGTTTTGAATTTTTTTCAGGCTCATGAATATTTCTTCTATGCTACGTTCATGATTTTCGACATGGTTATATTTCTTGTGATGAGCAGGAGTTATAAATTTGTTGACCCTGACTATAGTGTTTCTTCCGATGAAACAACTGAAAGTATCCCTCTGCTTCCAATGCAATCGAAAATGCCGGAAGAATTGTAAGTATCATATTTGGAATACTTTACCTTTCTAATAACCACACGCACCATTACAGTAATAGTAATATTATGCTTGTGTTTAATATTGCTTGTTTATAAAGAGAAATTTAAAAAAGTAAATGAAATACAAATACAAATTTTATAATTTGGATAAATTTGCACAGGTGTCAGGTAGTTGTTTGTTTTTGTTTTCATACATTAGTTGAGCTTTCATCCTTGAGGTCTGCTAATCAATACACGAAATGTACGTATGTGAATTAACTCCTCTTTTTGTTGTTTTTTGACTTCTTGAAATCGAGAATAAAAACTTTACAAATATATTATTTACAGTCCTCTGGATGTTAAATCTCACACCGCCTCAAAGTTAATTCTATTAACAAAATTTGTAAATTGTATTTTATGCTTTTTAACTGTATTTTCCATTAATGATGGCCACCTCCCATCTGCTGATTTCACTTCATTTGTTACAGAACAGGGAAGTAATTTGCATAAAATAATATATATTTTGTCTTCCAATTTTGGAATATCCAAAATTCGTTTTTTAAATGTTCGGTATCCAGTTTGAAAGTAAGGTTAGCTAGGATGAACATTTTTGTAGGTCTGTAGAACACAAATTCTACGTGATCAATGGAAGAAGCAAATAACAAAAAGGATTTACAGAAAAAACTGAATAAGAAGAAACAAAATAAGTGACATTGCTATTCAATAATTTAAAAAGCAATTTATGAGGAGTAAACTCAGTTCTCTATGTGTACTCAAAATATTTATGCATTTTCTTCTCTTGTACAATGTTCATATACACAGAAATATAGTTAAAAAACGTTAGGTAAATAATATAACCTTAAACACCTTGAAAGACATATCTTGTCGAACAAGCATAATAAAACATTTTTTTAAAAAAATTGCTTAGTTGGTTTATGTCAGTTCGCATGATAGACAGAAGCGGCCATTGCTCCCCCAAAGAAGGTTTGCAACTCTGTGGAATGATAGAAATGTAATTTAGATATATGTATTATTTAATTGCTATGTTAAATTGGAGTGGCTAATTATGATAAGTGCACACTGTTTTTATGAATGGCAGAAGTTTTTTTTAGCGGCGGCGATGGTGTAATGGTTAGCGTATCGGATTCTTATACCCAAGTTGGCGGGGTTCACGATTGGCGCTGTAGATTTTTAAGGGTGAAAAAATCCTTCGTACGCCTTATTACGGAGAGGAAGAAAAGCCGGCTGTCCCATGTTAGTAGATTTACTTGCATGTAAAAGATCCTCAAGCCTAGATGACGCCTCTGAGCTAAATACAAATCGCCTGTTTCGTCGCCCAAGAAATCCCTCCATTCTCTATTACTGGGTGAAAGGAGCGTAGCGAAATTTGCGTGGTCAGACGGAAGAGCGTGCCTGATGGCCAAGTCTCGCCACGTAAAATAAGGCCTCAATTCAATTCTTCTGTTATGTGCTTTTTTCAACCTTCAAACATCGAGTAGCAGAGTCTCGTTATTCTATTGGTTGTGCTTTAAACTCAGCCAACATTTTCGTTTCCATACCCCCAAACAATATACAGGGAAAACAAAACATAGTTTTCTTTGAACCACACGAACGTAGCCATCTGTATATTTACTATAACCATTCTTGAATTTTCTATCAAATGTTTTATTTTCTTATTTTACGTTTTGAATGCAATTTTGAAGATTTGGAATAGGCTTTCCAGGTATATTATTTTATAATTTTTCTTTAATAAGGGGAGTACTGAAAAAAATTTTTGTAAATAATAATGGATTTTAATGATATGCATTTGATCCCACCAGGATTCAGGTTCGACTCCACATTCATTCTGATAATAAACCAAGAATATTCTATACTTTTTATGAAATATTTCGCTGAATAATATTTCTAATGCCAGGGGAATAAATATTAAACGCTACTGATTCAACTAACTCAAAGATAAAATTACAGAAAATCGACACAAAATCGGAAGATATTCTAATTTTGTTGAGCAAGATGATCTGTCGATCCCACATCGCAAATAGCAACAGCAGGAGCCACGACGATCAAACAAGAATAAAACTTCACAAAAAATAATTGTGGCTCAAATTTACATACACACACATCCGTTCACGTAACGGCGCAAAATTGATATGCGAATAAGTACTGCGAGCAATTCTTACGCTCAATAAACACTGCACGCAATCTTACTCAGAGATCAACAGAAAGATTCTACATATACTGTCAACCTTTCTCAAAAGGAAACTGCACCCATCAAAGACACATTTTGAATCTATAAACATAATATCAAATGGAAATAAACACAAAAGGGAGCGCTCGATGGACACTTATTCATTCTAAAACTATTTCACGTTTTTATAACTGTGGTATCTCCTTAATTGAATGGAATTAAATACAAAATACTTACCTAACATGTAATAAATATTTTACAAATATCTGGGGGTTGGACAATAATGCCACCTAGGCAAGACGCGCCACTGATGTCAGTTATATTGTGAGAAAATTTGAGATTTACAGTTTAATCCTTTCAGTAAAATTGAGTACTAAAAGAGACAAATACTTCTTTGTATATTCCTCTACAATATGCCACAATGTATATATAT